GATACTGATGCATCAAACATTTCATAACTTGATACATTATTTTACATAGCTCCAATAAGATTTGCTAAAAGAGACAACCCCATTTACATTCTCATTAACCAAATATAAAACCGATCAAAGGAGATAGTTAGTTAATTTAATTTATGTTTTAAAAAAGCGTCGCATTCGATACAAAAACATTTCCCTCATATTGTGGTATACATACTTGTATGTAACCTGAATAAGGCCCAAAATTATATAAATCTCCTCTCTATCATGACACTCATAAGTCATAACTCTCTGTTGTATATATACATGTATTAATTATCGGTAATGTTTAAGATGTCGGTTTAAACTCTTTTACTTTTTGCTTCTTCTCCAGACTGATACATTTACAAAATGTATAAAAACACTAGCAGGGCTGCGAAACCGCAGCCAAACTGATACATTTACAAAATGATACATTTGATTCTACTATTTTGCTTACTGGGCTGCGACCCAATTTTTTTTAAGCATAAAAACACTAGCAGGACTGCTTGTATTATTTTTCTTCTCATGCTTTAAATATGAAAACCACGTTCCCAAAAAAAAAAAACTCCTTTTCTTTTAGTAAAAAAAAAAACTTTCAAAAATGAATATAATATAGGCTGGTTAGCTTACAGTTTCAGTTCTGAATTGGATTCGAGCTAGTTCAATATATATTTAAAGATTAAGTTTTATCTGGTTTAATTATTTTTCGATCGACGTCAAAAAAATAATTAGATTTTGAATCAGATATACAGTTTATTTTCGGAAAAAAATAAATAGATAATATTTAACCTGATTAATCGTTGGTTTCTCTAATTGATAACCCCCCCCCCCACACCAAGTTTATTTGAAATAAAGTTTTTTTTTTTGTTTGTAATTAGTGGTGCTGAACCGGTGCATTTGGCTATATTACTCAAATCAAATAAAACATTATGATAAGTCATTATGTAATTTATTTATATATATATATGTATACAGTTACACTATATATGTGATGATAATTTGTTTAAATTATCATGTAATCGAAGAACTAATAATCGACGGCCTACCATCTTTTGTAATCTACGTAATTTTCCTACACTTTTTTTCTCCTAAAGCATATACTTTGTATCGGGACATTTCCTCGTGGCCCCCGCACCTTGTTTATTCAAAGAGTTTAAACAACAAAAGTAATATTAAACAATTAAAGACGATCGATACAGTTCGTGTAATTGTTTCGTTAAATTCGACCATTAATATACAATTTTAAAAATTAGTAATAAAATGTGCCAAACAAGTCGTAACTGATAATTGATCATATACTATGTGATTCAAAATGCAAGTAACTGTATCTACGGAAAATGGAAATCCCTGTTGCGTCAAGTAATTTAATCGGTTCTCTATAATGGTTATCGCGTCACTGCATGCACACATATTGCTTTAAGAAAGTATTAGGACTAACTTCTTTTTCATACTAATATGTATATACGTTACATTTTTAAAAACATATGTACGTTCAGCTGTTATCTGGAAAACTCCGTAAAAACAGGGTTAAATTATTCTATTTTTTAGGTGTAAATATATATATATATATATATATATATATTATTATATTCTTTGGTTTGATTTTGTCAACCAAATTCACACATTTCTCTGTTAACAGTAGTCACTGTTTCTACCACATTCACATCTTTATACAAACAAAAAAAACTTATGTTTCTTCTCCAACAAAAAGACTTACTCTCTCTATTTCAAATTAAGTATCTTCTAAAAAAAGTCGTTTCAAGTTAAGTACTGTTTAGATTTTCAATCTAAATTATGGCATTAAATAACTAATATGATTTCAAGTGCAATGAAGAATATAATAAAATTTATAATATGTTTTTAATATATATGAAAAACTTAAAACTACACTTATCATGAAATGGAAGAAGTATATACATATGAATCATGGACTTCCGTTTCCTTAATACCACGTTTACATGTATTTATATTTATTTCAAGTGTAACGAAGAATGCGATATATATTAAGGAATACAAATACAATATATATAGATATATATATATATATAGATATATTAAAAAACGATATATATCGTACTAAAATTCAGACTCTTCATTAACACCTGCAAAAAGTGAAAATTTTCTTTGTCATTTCATAAGTATGCAATATATAAATGAGGTGAGAATGAAATTGTGAGGTACAAACTTAACATTAATCTTCAACGTACATGAATAATTGTAATCTGCCAATAAAGCACCACTCATTTGTTTTTATATTTGATTTATTTAAGAAGCATGTTTGGTTATATTTGGCTGCCAATACAGAATACACAGAAACCCCACATACCATTTGATATTTCTTTGATACAAAGTAGGGAGATTCTTCGTTTTCACTTTCCATTAATGCGAGGTTCTTGCATGTTTATCAATCACCAAATTTGGTCAATTAATTAAACTACGGGAGGATTTGCATACACACACTTATACGCATCAACTTACGTCCACGTCCCCTTACATTTGTTGTAGAAATATTTATTTTGTTGCTGTATATCAAGTTGTTTAGCCTTTAGACCCATCAATTAAATAGAAGCTAAAATGAACAGTGGACGTGAAAGAAGAATATATAGACAACTCATCACGATTTTGTATTTGTCCCTTTTTCCCTGGGCGCAAGTCAAAGTGTCAGAAAACAATAAAATAAAAATGATTAGGAGACTTAACATTTTCTCCAAACTTAAATACAGTTTTCAAAAAAACAAGAAAAGAAAAGAGTTGATGGATTTTTGCTACAAAAAAAAAGAGTGGTCAATATCCTCAAAGTCATCCTAGCCTATTTGTTGCTTCGAAACTCTCATGCGAGAACAAAAGAATATGTGATAGTGGACTGATGACAACAGAAAAAAAAATCAATTTGAGGGTGTATAAATTGTTGAACAAATAAAAATATATAATTTAAATACCAACAACCTGACCTGTAAAACAATATACAAATTCCATCATTATTTAGAGAGGCGGAACAATTGTGGGAGGAAAACAAAAACATTAAAAACATATTTATTAAGCAAAAGAATTGAAGTGGGAAAAGACAAAAACCAACTGTGTAAAAAGCCGAAACAGATGACGGGCCCATAAAAGGCCGAACCTCCACTTCTATTCTCTGTATATAAGTATACAGATAATAACAAAATAAAATAAAACATCTCTCAAAGTGGTAGGCCCTTTTCTTTCATCATTTCTCATTTTTTCCCCTTTGACACCTTTCACTTCAACAACAATTCACATTATTATGAGTTATGACCACAGTTTTTTGATGGTTTAATTTAAGCCGAAGAATTCTAAGCCGAACCCATACGTTTCTCCATCACAAGACATAGACACAAGTTTGACCCTAATTTCTATAGTATTTTTTCATGACAGACCCGGCCCATGCTGACTGCCCTAATTACATATATGTAAGGCTCCAAACAAAACAAAATTTTAAGCCTATTGATAATACAAAAATATGAATTAGGGTTTGAACTTTCCACCTGAGGATCTTTTTCTTTAGAGAATTCCTTAAAACTTTATTTTAAATTTTCATATGGAATCATTATCAAGAACGACCATATGTGCATCGGATAGTGTTAATTTAACTAGTTTTCTTTTTGTACAAATTGATATAACTAGATAGAAGTGTGAGATCGAACTCGAGTACAAATACGGCTCTGTATCTTAAAAGTTATACACTAGACGAAGTATAACAACAACAAAAAGAGGTTATCACTCATATCTGTAATGAGCTAGACTAGATGTCATGCGCAACATTTGACCAGTTAAATCCTACTCCTACAAACAAAATATTTAAAATGTTTAAATGTATGATGAAAAAGAAGAAACAAAGCATTTGATTAGCCTAGTTCGAAATGACGTCTCCTTAACGTTTGTGCGTTGTTTGCTCTAATGTGTCCGGATCACTCTACGCACAATACATTACCGATGTAACAAATTTTGACATTATCTTATATCCAATCCGAAAACATATATATCTACAAGACTACAACTTTGTTATAACGTTTCTATATGGAAAGAGGGACTGCCGATCGTCGTCTAGCATAATATTTGAACGCTGTCTCTTCAATTTTTTTGAAAGTATCGTGCTAATATCAAGTAAAAACCCTAGCTCATTTTACAAACATAGAAATCTTCTTACATATTCAACAAGAAAATATCGCAAAACGTCTAGAGTTTTCGGTTTGATTCTCAAGTTACAATTAGAAAAATTTGGATGTATGAAATATACTGTCGTCCACTTTTTTTTTTGGGTCAAAATATAATGTCGTCCACTAATACAATTAATAAAGTATGAGACATCGATGCATGAAGGCTAGACTTCCAACGTCTATAAATAATATATAATGCTTGTGGTAGGGTCTTTTCTCATTATCATATCTCACTTTCTTTTACATCCCTCGTTTTAATTACAGTCACTTTAATTTTACTCATAAACCATAATAATTATTTTATTCATTATATATGAAATCATTTTATGGATTTGTTTTTTTTTCTATAAAAAAAGTCTCAAGAATCAAGATTGTAATAATTTGTCATAGTTTGACTTCACAAAATTCAATTAAACGCGGAAATCATTACCGTTGATTAATTAACCTTCGTACGCAATTGATTCAGTCAGACACTAGGACCGACCAATTCAGGAAACAAATGAATGGATATGACTCATCATTTATATAGTTTGAGACGGAAAAAAAGTGAAAGCTATCTTACGCCGTCGTTTTTCTTTGAAGATTTCGAATAGGTGAGTGAAAACGGTTAACTTCTTGGTAAGGAAGCCCAATGGGCCTATCTACGAAGGTAAGAGTTGCATTAATATGTCAATCAGTAATTGATTATGGGCCGAAGTTGTGTCTGACTCATAACGAAAACTTTAGTTATAGAACTTTAAACTAAGCCCGCTAAAGGGATCTAAATGTTGCACAAATGATATATAAATAATAGTAGGCATAATAGTATGACTTAATATATATAAAGAAAAAACAGATTATTCGACGTATATTTAACGCGCTCTGTTTTATATATATAAGAAGAGATTTTTCTGTATCTCACAAATTCATCATCGTGAAGCGTCCGAAGGCTATTATTTGGACGACCATCAGAGAAAGAGCTTAGATCTCGTCCGGCGTTGTTTCTTCGGTACGTTTCTCCCGTTGATTCCCCCTCTCTCTCTCTCTTTCTCCGTTTACCGATTCTCCTGTTCGAATTTCCTTCCGGCGATCCGGATCCATGCGTTGTTCATTGCTCGTCATTTCCAGATCTGTGGTGTTTCTTCCGTTTTCTTGTACGAATAGACGTGTTTCATCGTGATTAGCTAGGTTGTAACCCTGGATCTGTATCTGAAAAGCAAAGTTGATATTTCTAGATCAGGATGATTCTCTGTAGCTAGATCTTTTAATGGGAATATCGACCTTGATTCGATCCAGACATTTGAGGATACGATAGCAGTTTGTCATCATTGAGTCCACAATGGGTCTTGTTTATATCCGTCGCTACATTGATGATTCCTCAATTGCGTGCGTGTTGTAATCATTTATCTGGATTGAGAAACTTGGGGTTCGTTGAAATTCATCAAATCTGATTTTTTGTGTGAACAGGCTTGGAAAAATGGGGCTTTCGTTCGGAAAGTTATTCAGCAGGCTTTTTGCGAAGAAAGAGATGCGTATTCTGATGGTTGGTCTCGATGCTGCTGGTAAGACGACAATCCTGTACAAGCTCAAACTTGGAGAGATCGTTACCACTATTCCCACCATTGGTGAGTAACTTATCTCATTTACCTCCTCCCACTTCTTCGCATGTCTTTATTTACCTGTATTTGTCTGTACCGTGAATGTGGTCGGTCTGTTGTTGAATATCTTACTTTGTGTTGTATGAGAATCTGACAGTCCTTGTCTGCTCTCAGGGTTCAACGTCGAAACTGTGGAATACAAGAACATTAGCTTCACCGTGTGGGATGTCGGGGGTCAGGACAAGGTATCTTCCCATTTCATATCATTCTGTCTCCTTTTACAGATTCTGCAATTATTGGGGTTACTCTTTCATCCATGTATAATGGTTTGCTTATTAGGTTCAGTGTTGGTATTAGGATCATGTACCAGCACTCTACAATAGATAAGCTAAATCAAATCAGCTAGAATGTAGAGCATGCTTTGATTCTCAAAGTGATGTCGTTTTCTGGCCGACATTCCCTTTTTTTTTTTTACAATTTTTCTTTTTAGACTACTTGTATGTTAACTCATTTGAGCTGTGCTCCTCGAATTGTGAATCAGTTCTTTACTAATGATTTCCATTCAAACTCTTTACTAATGTTTTCCCTCTGCTTATCCAGATCCGTCCATTGTGGAGGCACTACTTCCAGAACACACAAGGACTTATTTTTGTTGTGGACAGCAACGATCGTGACCGTGTTGTTGAAGCTAGGGACGAGCTTCACAGGATGCTGAATGAGGTACCTTCACTCGATACTTCTCTCTTTGCATTTGTTATATATAAGAAATTGAGGTTTTGACTTTGTGATGCTTATCTCGGCAGGATGAATTGAGGGATGCAGTTCTGCTTGTTTTTGCTAACAAGCAAGATCTTCCCAACGCAATGAACGCTGCTGAGATAACTGACAAGCTTGGGCTTCACTCTCTCCGCCAACGACACTGGTAAGCACACTCTTAACTCTCTCGATCCCTAATCCAAACCCGGACATATGAGCGAGCTCTGATGCAATCACTTCTAAAAACAGGTACATTCAGAGCACATGTGCCACCTCTGGTGAAGGACTCTACGAGGGACTTGACTGGCTCTCCAACAACATCGCAAACAAGGTATCAATTATGATCTACTTACTGCTCCAACTTTCATAATCATTTTGTGTAGAATCTGTGACTGAGACATTTTAACACTTACGATGTTCAGGCATAGAAAGGAGGTAGCAGGGTTCCTCCTTGCTTGTTTGGTTTTATAAACCAAGGAAGTGAAGTGGTCTGTTTCGCTAGTACTAAAAAAAACGAAACCCAGATTTATTATCATCATATTCTTCTTCTTCGTCTCTCATCTCAAACTCAAATCATTTTACATTTTGTAATTTCCTTTGATTACTCGTAAGCTTTTTTTCTTCTTCCTGGAGTGAGTATATCTCTTTTATTTCTTCTTTTAATCAGTTTCTTCCTCGCATTCTGTTTCATGATTCGAAATTTTTGAACATATTCCTCTTTCGAAACTGACCCAGGCTCCTTTGAGATTCAAAGTAAACAGAAGGCATATCTTTACTTTTAAGATATTAATCTCGTTATTTAAATTTGAACATCAGAACACTATACCATATAAAAAAAAAAAATTCAAGAAAGCTTGCATCATAGACTAAAAAGCAAAGACGATACAAATTCACATGTCAACCGCAAAGGCACATGAAACAAGAGGCAGAATGTGTGGTTGTCGACGCAACACACTACAACCCCCAATTCAACTAGTAAACAATTTTGACATTCAAGCAGCTGACGGTGCAGTCACGTACTTGACCCGCCCAGCTTCAGTAAGAGCGGTGATAAACGGCTTCAGGTTCACCATATCTGAGTCTCTCTCGAGGTCGGCCACAGATTTCGTGTAATCCAAGGAATCATCGTTGTAAATGTCCCACCATTTGTTCACTAACATTTTGATGTCTTCTCTCTCCATATTTGTTTCTTTCCCAGTGTATCTCCATGGCTTCGAACCCTGTAAATGATGAGAAACACAACAAACATTGTGTTAGAAGTTAGAACACTCAGAAGAAGAACCATTGGTCTAAATAAAACAAAAATGCGATGCAAAATAACCCACCGCTGCACAGTAGTGAACCACCTTGACTTTATCGAGTTCCACATTTTCAGGGTGACGCCATAGCATCGCTAGGACAAGATTGTAAACTAAAGGAATTGGCTTGTAGATTTTCTTGAAATACATGTTCAGAAAGTCCTGCACTTTCAAATCCACAGCTTAGAACAGCAGATGAAAACAGAGCAAAGCAGAGCAAACCCAGTACGCAGAAACTATTTTTTTACCTGTTCAGCGAAAGGAGTTGGGGGAGTGATTTTAAGGGTCCTTAAAAGATCCTCGTAAGTATTGAGATCAGGTTCGAAAACAAACATTCCGGCGTTGAAGTAGAGAGCCGGTGGCTCTCCAAGCTCTGCCTTTGGCCACTGAACCTTTTCAGGGCACTGTTGGCAGTATCCGATCTTGTATTGCGGCGTGTGACTCCATGTTTTCTCGCAAAAACAGTCCATCACCGCGTAGAAATAGCCATCGTCAAGATCGAACAAGTGGTCGATGTTATCATAAACTTGAATGTCTCCATCTAGATATATCAATTTACTGTACTCCACAAACTACACATTAACACACACACACACACAAAAACAGAGCATTAGCGACATCTACAGGTTAGGCTATATATAACACAAAAGGGCAATAAACGAGCTAGGGCGTATTATTGAAAGTACCTTCCAGATACGGAGTTTGGAGTAATTGATGACGTAATAAGCCATAGCAAATTGAGTTTGGTTCTCCGGTGGGTAAACGGGTTCGATTTCACGGACAATGCAACCTTGTTCCACAAGTAATCGACGGTGTTCCTCCGGAACATCTGGTAATACCGCCACAACGAGTGGATGCGCGGATTTGACTTTTCTTAATCCTTTGGCTAAACCAACGACTCCTTTCACGTAATCACCGTTCCCGGCCAGAAATGTCACGTAAGCTCGATCACCGCCGTAGATTTGCGGTGGCGGTTTAGTTATCGTAACGGCGGATTTAGCAGTGTTGGTTTGTGTAAGCTCCGGAGCCATGTGAGAAGCACGTGATTTCGAAGGATCTAGAGAAATGTGGTGAGAGAAGTAATTTTTTTTTCTGTTCGTTCTTTGTGCTTAGTGATGATGAGGACTTAATGTGATGGCTAATCGGGGATTATTATAGGCGCTAGGATTAGTTGTTATCATGAAATCTGGAGCGTACACGCGTAAATTTAAGATCAGACGGTGGTGATTGGCGTCTGGTGAATGTTCTCGAAGTGTGGAAATTTAAATGGGGAGCGCTAGAAGCTGCTACGGTATTCTGAGAAACAGAAGATTATTATTCCCTGCGTCTGTGTGCATTGTACTCTTCCGTAGACTCACATTAATTTAGTGTTATTTTTTTTTTCAAGATATCGAATCGGAAAAAACTGTAAATACACAAGTATTCAAGGATTTATAGCTAAAATGGAGTAAACTCTATCCCACAGAAGACTAAAGAGTTTTCCAGAGGTATAATTCAAGAATCAACTATAAATACTTTGATTCTTGTTACGTTCTTTTTTCTTTCTCTCTCGTTACTTCTTTTGAGCAATTCTAAGGCAAGACCTTGCCGCCTAATCGTGGTATTTACACTACACAACATTAGAGCACATTTTAGCTCATCATCCACCAATTCTAGCAAACACAAACTCTCTAATTATACAACAAGAAATTTAATAATTTTTTTCTTCTCAATCTTCGTAGTTGAACCTCCAAAACTTTTTATTTTCCATAAAATGTCATAAAAAACCCTAAGGAGTAAGGGAACGTGACTTTTTTTACAGGTCTTGAATCACACATCACAAGGTTCATAACCACAAGTGATTTACGTCCTTTCTGTTCTAACAACGTCATATATTAACTCCGAATCATATTTGAGTGTTCCAAATCATGCCCCATGTTTTTTACCCAAAGTTTGATAAACATCTTCAAATACTTCGCATCTTCTTTCAGTTTACTTGTTCTTCATCTATATATACATCATCTCTTTTGGCTTTTATAAAGTACCTCAAATTCTTGCACTAGCAATATCATTTTAACCTCTCTCATTGGTCCATCTTTTTGATTTTATGATTGTTTCTGGGTTGTTTTATGTTTCTGTTTTTATATTTTAATCTGTAGATGCCAAGAAGCAGATTCAAGCATTTGCTTCACAAACACTTGCTTCTCGCTTCTCTTTAATAATACGATCGGCCGGCATTTAGTGTGGTTTCGAGGCTTAAACCATAGATTTTTGAAACCATATTCTATATTGCTTAATCCTGATGTTGACATTGACTCTAAACGACTAAACGTGTTTTGTGTTGCAAAATTTGACAAAAGAAAAGGGAATAATAATGAAAATGGGTCTCTTACGATGTCTTCAAAATTCCTGCCAAAAGTGACTTTTAAGACTTTTACCTTAATCATCGCCGGTCATCTTTGATTTAGGTTCCTTAATGTTCATCTGTTTCCATTATTGTGTATAAGTTACTTTCTTTTTTAGTTTTCCTTCGCAGAGCTTCGAAATTGTTGCTTTTGGGAAAATTATATTCCGATCAATCAAAGTCAACTCCCTTAGTGTCCGAGTTTAGGCAACATGCATTACATAATTTACTTCCAAATTTGAAATTTCACAGTTTTACAGTTAATGGAAGACCTTTACTAATTTTTTTTAAAAAACTGCAAATGGTAGACTTCTTACAAATCCTTTTATTTTTATTTTATTTTATTTTATTTTTCTTGAAGCATTACTAACTTATTTACACATACTGACATACATGCTTAATTACATAACTAATATATAATGGTCATGAAAGTAAGTTTGAACAAATTTTACTATTCTGAACTATTTTTCCAATAGAGATAATAAAATTACTTGCTCGATAAAATTACTATATATATTAGTGTGTGTGTGTGTGTTTGTGTGTAAAAGCTAAAACTATATCAATAATATTCCATACAACTATTGGTTCGACATTTAAAATATAAATAAAATAAAATATACATGTAATTAAGTATACAACTAAATGATTTTATAAACCTAATAAGTATAATCAGCATCGAAATTTTCTTCGTTCATAATATTATATGATCAATAATTAAACCCGTGCAAAACAAACTTCGACATATTTTTGATTATATATATTTTGAAAAATAAAATCAGGATACTCAATTGGCTGAGTCAATTCTGCTAAATTTTGTTACGATAACTATTAAGATATATGTTATTATGGAGTTCTTTTGAATTTCAGTTTTTGATAATGGGATGTTTCTTTAGAGGAAATATCATATCACAGGCTTAGTTATCAAATACTAGTTGATCCATTGAACCTCAACAAGAAAGTGGATCTCAAAGTATTAAACCATACATGTATACGGTATATATATATATATATATAATTGCGTTGACGAGAAAGAATTATAGATGCTAAAACATGGATTTTCTATGGTCATGCCTTTGGAGTTTTGAACCTCACATGCTTTAAAGTTTAAAGTTCGAGCCCTCTGCGTCATGATCTTTACGTCATCTCTTCTACGCCACGCACAAGAAAATATTTTTAACAATTTATAGTTTATAAATAAATAGAATCCTGAAAATAACCTTTTCTTTTTCTTTTCAAGGAGATGTATCACGACTCCATCAATAAGAGATACAAATACAATACAATATTTATTAGCCATCTTCCCTTTTAGTGTCTTATCTATTGCCCTGCAATTTTTAGATAGTTTATTCGATTTTGGGATTGACCAGTCTTATAGATACATTTGTTGGAGGCTTATATGTTACTGTTATGTCGCATCAAATCGGAATTGGACATGACCAGATGACAAAAAGAAAGAGGCTTTGCGTATGAATATGACAGAATTTTGAGCGTGTAGTTAAAAAGAATGTGGGGATAGTGGTCTAAAGTCGGAAAAAATAAGTTAAAAAGATTGTGGGTTCTACTTTTGGTACTTCTTCTGATTTTGATAGATCGTAAACATCTTTTTTAGGTTGATTGTTCATTTTTTGTGACTGTATATCTCTTTCTCTTTTGTTTTTTTCTATTGTTTTTAGTTTCGTTTATGGAACCAAATTAACTTGAACGGTGAGATGATATATAAATAATACAAAAGACAAAACTTATTAAGATTGCCAAATCATGTCGGTATATATGAGTTTATATTTCTTTTGTTGGTTTCAAGTTTTATTAAACGTTTCGTAAAGCAAATAACCTGTCAACAATAAGTAATTTAGTGGTTAAGTATCTTATAACACTTTGGAATCAAAATGGTTTCGTTTTTAGTCTAATTAACTCTGATTCAAGTTTTGTTTAATTTCCGCGATATACAATCTAGTAGTTGAAATAAAGAGGAAAATATTCTTTGAATTCTTTTAGTAAATAAACCAGACTTGACACAGAAAAAACCGGCCTTTTTCATGTGAATAAGAATTATTTTTTTTGGGGTGTCATCAGCATCTTTGGGCTGTCATATAATTAAATTTCCAATCGATGTAACAATTCACTGAATTGGGTGTTACGAAAAACATTTGTTTTCTCCACTAAAAATCTAGTACTGATACCACCCAAATCTAACCTATATTCGAATCAAATTGACAAGTCATCACTTGTGTGTATTTTTGTCCTAAGCTGAAAGTTAGAAGCAGACAAGTGTCTCATAAAGACATTGAGACCTGATTCACTTCTCAGGTACATACACTTAATCGAGAAAGTTGTTTTCCCAAGAACTATGGAATTGGAGGCTACTATTTATGTGTCTTTGTGTAATAATATTGTGTTTACTTGCATTACTGAAACTCTTTCACTTTAATTAAAATTTTGATAATCAACCCTCCTTTTTAATAGAGTGGATCGCTCTGATATGTACGCATCAAAAGCTATACTACGCTAATCTTTTTGTGTTCATATATATGTTTTAATTTTAACCAACTATAGTGTTTAATTGAATAGAGTGTTTAGATGTTTCCTATATACATAGATTTTTTTTTTGGGGGGGGAGGGGGGGGGGAATCAGTGAGTAAGAGTCAATACGGTGATCGATATTTTCGTAAATCTCCAAAAATAAAAAAAGATTTTCTTTAAAAATAAAAATAAGAATAAAAAGAGGACATTGTAAAAAATAAAATTTCTGATGGCAAATATTGCAATTTAATTTTTTTGCTAAGAAGTATTATATTATTCTGAAGAGCTTTTACATTGTTTCCAATATTAATATTGCACGATAAAATTTGGTTGAAAAGAACTCATAAAAGTCTTACCATTTGTGTCAATACACGAGTAGAAGTCATACTGATAGTTAGAGGAAAGACGTCTCTTTGACTACTCTTCGATGTTAAAACAAAATGTGCAAAATTTTCAAAAGCAAAGACCCTATACCTCGCCTAACTCCATTTCTCATTTGACTTTGCTTTAAATGTCAATAGTCCTATGTTATTTAACTACATTAAATTTAGAAATTAAAATTGGTCTTTTATATGCTGATAGATAATTTCGTCAGAAAATAGTTTTAAGTGTTACACTATGCTTACCGAGTAGTTTTTTTCTTTCTTAATTAGCTGATTTCAAGAAAACAACGAGTTAGCTTTGTTTATAGGAAACTATTGTGTATTTATTTGTTAGATAACCAAGGAAAATACTTTAGAGCATTCTCAATTTCTCAAAATTTTCAAATATAAACATAACATTGTTAGCATAGCAATAACTGTGAAAATTAATTACCTCAATTAATTTATACATAAATGATGTTAAACAACCCTATAAATAAATAAACACGTTAAACTTTTGAGATAGAAATGTAAAACATTGTGGATGAAAGCTGGTGAAAGTAGCCCGGTACTCCCTCCATAATGTTTCTTATGGAGGAGAAGAAAAGAAACAATGTTTTTTGTTCATTGATTTAAGTATGATATACTGTGAAGTCACCGTTTTTTTCTTTGTGTCCTTCATATAACAACAATATAAAGAAATTGAAAGCGTGATTACACAACAATATAAAGAAAATGAAAGCGTGATTACACAACAATATAAAGAAAATGAAAGCGTGATTACACAACAATATGTGATATTTCATTTCGCCAATAGTCATTTTAAACAGTACTATAAATATACAACAACTTACGTCTGAGGCACTGTGAGGTAAAATCTAGAAACTCTATAAAATAGAACACTTAACAAAAAAAAGGAACTCTTAACAAAGAAAATAAAGTGGGAGTGCGTGTTACTATACATCTGAACAAGTCAAAGGGTCAAACCTTAGTATTTTTAATTACAAAAAGAGTTGACCAAATGGAGAGTTAATTATTATTATACGAGTATAAGTATATAGTTGCAAAATTCCACTTCAGAAGCAAGAATAAAAGAATACTAATTAAATATCACACTTATGCCGTGTTCCAGTCACTCTTCATTCTTCTACTTATTTCAAAATATCGTTGATAAATTACTACTTTTAAATTCTTTATTCTCGTGTTCCTTCACTTATATATAAGAATCACACATTGCTTATCACTTCAAATCTAATCCACAAAACCTTTCAAACCATCTCATATTTCCTTTTCCTTTTTTTCTCATTAGAATAAAGAAAAATGGAAGATTACGAGCGAAACTCAAACACTCCAGCTCATGAAGAAGATTCTGATGTACGGAAAGGTCCATGGACTGAGGAAGAAGATGCTATTCTCGTAAACTTCGTCTCCATCCACGGTGATGCTCGTTGGAACCACATCGCTCGTTCTTCTGGTATCAAATTAAAACATCATTCGTTTAAATTTATATATAGTTGCATATATGTATCTATATCGACATATATTTATATTCATATATGCAGGGCTTAAGAGAACTGGTAAGAGTTGCAGATTAAGATGGCTTAATTACTTACGACCAGATGTTAGACGAGGCAACATCACCCTCGAAGAACAATTTATGATCCTTAAACTCCATTCTCTCTGGGGCAATAGGTAAAATCTCAAGATTATACAACATCCAAATGTAATTTTTTTTTTTTGGTACAAAAACAAAAAAGAACGCGATACCAGCTACGTTTTCTGTATGTTTTATTACAAATATGCTTAAATTTGATATGTATGTATTTTATTCGAAAATATAAGGTGGTCGAAGATTGCTCAATATCTACCGGGAAGAACAGATAATGAAATAAAGAACTATTGGAGAACTCGGGTGCAAAAGCAAGCTAAACACCTTAGGTGCGATGTTAATAGCAATCTTTTCAAGGAGACAATGAGAAATGTTTGGATGCCAAGATTAGTGGAAAGAATCAACGCCCAATCATCATCCGCCACGTGTGAGCCAGTGGATTCAATGATCACCGACCCAGGTCAACCTATTGACGAACCGGGTTTCGTTCAGTTTGAACCGGATCATCATCACCAGCATCAGCATCAGCCGTTATCACGGGCATCGGAACTGTCCGCAACGTCTTCGAATTCGCCGGCTGAGACGTTATCGGACGTTCAAGGTGGGGTGGTGAACGGGTCGGCTTATGACCCGGTGGGTCAAACGGGTTTCGGGGAGTTCAACGATTGGGGCTGTGTTGGTGGGGACAACATGTGGACCGATGACCAGAGTTTTTGGTTCTTGCAGGACCAGTTTTGCCACGAAATGACATCGTATTCGTATAATTAAGCAAAAATACGATTACGATACGTAACGAGGAATTCAATTGCGTCACGTTTGGTGTATAATATTCATTCGTGCGTGATGCCATTTTAGATACGGCCTTGGTATACGAATCTTGACTTAATTAATATGTTTTTCTTTTCCATTTTTTTTTTCTTTCTTGATCCTGTTAAGTGTTAATCACGCCAGGATATTTGTGATATATATGTGAACTATTCAATATAACGTTATTTTTTTTTTTGAATCTAATGTTAAATTATATTCAAAAGAAAAAACAACTTTGTCTACAACTTTTTCATGAAGGATAAACAAATAAAAGACCCCCCAATTCAATATAACGTTAATTTAAAAAAAAAAAAAATCATCAAGGAAAAGTTCTTAATTGATTTTAAAAAGGGGTAGGCTAACTCGAATCAGATCATACTTGGTTTGGTCTGTTTTAATTACGATATATATAAAACATATATACAAGGATCGAACTAAAAAGCACTCGTCAAAATATGGCATAAATTTTACCATTTGACGTTTAACCATTGGGTGGTTCAATTGTCACAACACATGATTTATTTTGATGCAAATTTCCTGAATATATTTAAGGACATCTACAATTTGGTAGTTAAAAAAAATGCTCATATATATACCTCACGTGAAATACTATTTAACATTATGCAAGAACTCACATTATAAATTCACATCATCAAGTGATTCCTGGCGATGATCCAGTTATCAAACTCTTCATCCATATCGTTGATCCTACGCGTAGTTTCGATGTTAAACTCGTGATTATCGCTGCGCTGCCATGTATCAACCACTGAAATTCTCTTCCTCGTCGTGTCTTTGTCTCCGGCGACATTTCTGTAAAGATCCACTGTCGATGAATCCGTTGTCTCTGGCTCCTCCCTAGGCGTAAGACGGCAACTCATCAATGCTCTAAGGAGCATCACTATCGACGCCATGTGTCTCCTACGTCGTAGGGTGCCTTAGTTAGCTTTAAATGCGTATCTGATCACTTTTAAGTGCAAAGATACATACACACAAAAACATATATGTATATATAGTGTGTGCTTTTGTGTGCGCGCTTGTGTCAGTGTAGTCTTAACAACCATTGTGGAATGTTGAAACAAGACAGCTCAAGGCGGAAAACATACATAGAATCTAATTTTGGTAGGTGTTGAGTCTATTACAGCAGAATAGCAAAGGCAAAATGGTCTTTTGTAGACTTATTATATGGTTTTGGTGTTGAATAGAAAGAAAATATTTCATCTTCAGCAAGAAAAAACGAGAGGAAAATAATGCATTTAAAGATGACTTAAGATAACATTTTGATCTGATCCTTTCTCACACAGGTCAACGATGGTTGGACAACCTTCTAGATTCTTCTTTGTTGGTCTAACTTTAGTATTTTGGTCAATAACCATGTATATAATACATTGTGTTTCTTAATTTTCAAAATTATATCGATCCAAAATAATGTTTCTTTTATATAAAATTTGTACATGAAGACATAATATAGTTTTCTTTCAATTACAAACTGTATAGGTATCTTCGAAAAAAAAAACAAATAATACTGTATTGGGTATATAACCGTAAAATACATTTAGAACCAAAAAAATAATTCGTTTTAAATAAGTTTCAATATTTATTTGCACTCGCCCCTTAATTATTTATTTATAAACATTACTACGTACTACTACGTAAGCCGGACAAGGGTGGACTGAAGAAACGCCATCGTTTAACATTTGTATGAATTTCTAAATAGACAGAACTCGCTAAGCAAGTCCAAAGGTTTCAACATTCTTTCGCGCTCAAAACCCCCAATTCTCGTCGGAATTGGTTAAGTGTAGGAAACCCTAACTTCTGAATCGAAGTGGATCCTGATCGAATCGAAGGTTTTACTGATTCTATATTGGATGATAGCTACCCGGTAAATCCGGAACCCTAATTGCAATGGGTGGCACGGACGCGAAGGACATTCTCGGACTGCCCAAGACTCCACTGTCTTTGACTCAGGAGAAGAAATCTCGACCCCAGAAGGAGTCCCACAGAAAACCAGATGGCATTTCTCGCGAGGTGGGATTCTTACGAATCCCTGGAATCGATTGATTCTCGTCTCGAGCTGTTGAATGACTTTTAATTTTTCATCGTCGTTGTTGAATTGCAGGTTTATGCGCTTACCGGCGGCGTTGCACCTCTTATGCCTTCTATTGATGTTACCCACTTAAAGCGCCGTCCTCCGCCAGATGAGAAGGTCGAATTTTTGTTTTATCTTCTTGTTTTATGATTTTGTTGTCATCATGATTGTGTTTTTTTTATGCTAAAGCGCCTTTCTTTCAGGTCGTTTGGCAATGGCTTCCCTTCACAAATTCTGCTAGGAAAGATGATTTGCAGCTTTACCATTGGGTAATTTCCTCATCTGTGCAACGCCATTGCAGGAACGCTTGAGCATATACTTCCTTTCTGATTAATGGTTTATATATATATATCTTCACAGGTTAGAGTGGTTAATGATGTTCCACCAACAGGTGACTATTCGTTTGCCAAATATAACAAGGTATTTTATTATATTGCCTTGATGGTTTTGCGGTCCTCTCTCCGTTTATGCTTCTTCTGACATTTTTATATAACTCACATCTTTATGTACGTACCCTTCTTTTGTGAAAATGCAGTCAGTTGATATCTTGAAATACACGGACGAAGAGTATGAGAATCATTTGACGGACCCTGTAAGTGTCTGCTTAAGGAATAGCTTTCTGTTTCGTGCTTTAGCCATAGTTGTTTCATGCTTTTATGTCACAAAGAGAGTCACTGTACAAGCTTGCTTTCTATAATGTCGACTTGGTTTATTGTGCTCCAACTTGTAGGTGTGGACCAAGGAAGAGACAGATCAGTTGTTTGAATTGTGTGAAAGGTTTGATCTCCGTTTCACTGTAATTGCTGATCGCTTTCCATTATTGCGGACTGTAGAAGAATTGAAGGATCGTTACTATAGTGGTATGTTTGGATCTTTTTCTGTTTTCAAACCATTATCCGTTCTCTTACACCTTGCCCTTTCATTAGTTTTCTTCATTGTTCTCTCTGTTTTTCTATTTCGTGTTGCACCAGGTTTTGTTAGAAAGTATGAGAACTGAGAATTTTGTTACGTAATTTCCTTTGTAGTAACTCGGGCCCTGCTGCGTGCTAGAGCTCAGTCCCCAGCAGACGTTGCAAACCATCCACTGATGAAGGTCATCTTCCTCTTTTATATTTCTTCATAGCTAACGAAGAACTCTTATGTTCATATATTTGTTATTTATTTTAGCAATCTATCTTTGTCGTGTTATCTGGAGAGAACATCTCTCTAAAAGCTGTTATTTAAATATACTGGCATAACAGGACCCTTATGATATTACACGCGATAGAGAGCGCAAACGGGCATTATCCATGGTCCTGTCCCAGAGTAGACATCAGGAGAAGAAAGATGCTGAGGTTTTTTCACTTTAATTTTTGACTAAACATGCAACCGAAACGTATATAATAGTTCTTTGCTTTCTCTTACCCGTCTCCCATAACTACAGATTCTTGCTGAGGCTAAAAGAATCACAGAGATGCGTTTGGCTGCACGCGTAAGTGTCGATATACTCACTTGTACTAACTAAATAACAATAGATGAAATTTGCTTACCATGATTGAAGATACCCTTTTACCTTAGACGCATATTAGAATCTATCATCATCATCTTGTCTCTAAAACTAGTGGTATCTCTGGCTGTCCAGCGTGCGGAAGAACCTGATATGTCTGCGAATGAGAATATTGATGGGGTAGTTCCAGGGCGTAGTGTATCTCCATCATCTAACTCTCAACTTCCTGCAACTGCCGTGGCTCCATCAACACTAACTATGGCAGATTATGCCTCTACCCTTGCTTCTCTGCGCATGGTGAGTGTGTCTCTCTTTTCTCTTCTCCTTTTTCATTTGTGTCTCGAATTATCTGATTCTTTTTGGCCATTCTGTCAAATTGTCAGCTTCACGTATACTTGAGAACCTATGGACTTGAACAAATGGTCCAAGCTGCAAGCTCTGCTGTTGGTCTTCGAACGATCAAGCGCGTTGAGCAGACTCTGCAAGATCTCGGGGTTTGTTTTTTCTTCTTGTTCTGTTTTACCCTTTCTATATTTCTTACTAGAATTTGCTTATATTCCCCATTGACCGATGAAGGGGAATGACCTAGTGTCTTATAAAGTCTCACTCAAGCGAGGGTTTGAATGTCTTCTACTACTAAGTACTAACTTATGGGGATTTTGGTTTTGTTAGAGGCTAGGTTCATATCAGTATATTTGATTGGAGCTGCTTGTAAGATTCGCCAAATGGATTTCGATTATATAGAGTTTCGTTTTACAGGTCAATTTAAAGCCAAAAGTTCCTACAAAAACTGTATGTGATGAACATCTTGAATTACGAAAAGAAATTTTAACACTATTGAATCTTCAGAAGCAGGTAAACCATACGATACAATTCCCATATAATATCTATTTTGTAGATTCACAAATATATATGTAGCCACTTCTTTTTCTAACTTGTCTCCTTTGATGGCCTGGTTTTGATGGTCGTCATTTCAGCTACAATATAAAGAATCAGAAGGTTCGTCACACCGTGAAGGGCCATATGCCGCAGCGCCAGATACTCCAAAGGTCAGCATCAAAACGTGAATCGCTAATTTTTACCTGCAATTTCATCGTCCTAGAAATATAACTCGAATCTTTTGTATTTGATCAGGATCGTGTTTTCACTACTGACCCATTCAATTTTGGAGGTACATTTCTTTATCTTCTTAGTTTCAGCAATGTTTCTACTACTTAACCATGTCTAACTTCTTTTTTTTTTTGTGTGTTGTGTGTGGATTTCAGCTGAAAGACCAATCAAGAAGGAACAAAAGCGCAAGGTGGGTGCATCATTCTTTCCTTATCGTTTTCGCTGAAAATCCTCTGAATATGTATGTCTAAATCTCCATTACATATGTTTGTGAATCCTACAGGGTCCTGGAAGACAATCAGACACTCCTTCACCAGCTCATAAGCGGCCCAGAAAGATGAAAGCATCTGATCTCTAAAATGTCAACTCGTGTTTTTTTTTGTTTTTTTTGTTTTTTTGGATAAATGTTAAATTATAGTCAAACCAGAAAGAAAAAAAACATGGAATGCGAGCTTTTAAGGTAAATACGTTTTTAAAAACCTTAATACTCTTACATTCAATAGTTCCCTTACACAAAACAAAAAACGACAAAATTCAACATAGATTAATGTATTTTATGACGAAATAAATAGTTTTAACACAAGATTGACCAAGGTGGAACCATGGTGGAAGTCATGGAGGAAACGAATGGTGTTGTGTGGGTTCCAGCAATAGTAGTTAAGGAGATGGAGAATGGGAATAATTTTATGGTCAAGTCTTGCAAATACTTGAGCTGGAACGATGAAGTAAAACCCACAAGATGTGTTAGTTCACGCAACATCAGGCCAATACCTCCACCTTTTATCTGTTGAAAACTATGGATTGATGGAACCTGTTGAAGTGTTTATTGATCCGGGATGGCGTCCAGGGATAGTGATGAACATTCTCTGTGGGAATCAGTACACTGTGTGTTTAGAGGCTACAAAGGAGTCTTTGGTGTTCAAACATTCCGATCTAAGGCCTCTAAAGGAGTCGATAATCCAACCGTTCATGGTGAGTTTTCATATATATATATTTTTTTTTTTTATTGCTATGAAAGATGTTTCCCTAATTTCAGTCAACATTGTGTCGATTTTGGTTTATTGCTGATTGATTATTTATGCTGTTTCCAATTTCAGCGGAACTCTACTGAAGTAGATGCTACCATCACTCGTCAAAGGTCCCTGTATCCTGTGGAAAACGCCATTCCTGAGGGTGAACTTGTAGTTGTGCCTGTGAGTTAGATCTACTCCCTTTTCTCTGTCTCTCTAGTTGCGTGTGTTTGCTTTCACCTCTTTTTTATTAATAGGGCCACTGAAAGTTGTCCTGTTTTTTGGTACTTGGTTTTCGTTAACCTCTATCATTTGCATGTATCAGTGACTAATCTAAGTGAACTGTTTCAATGTGACTCTTCATTTTTCTTTACTAATGATATGCAGACAAGGGAACCCTCGGTAGCTCAAGGATCGGGAAATGAGATGGCTGATGATGTAAGACATGGTAATACTACGGCCATTACCTGCAAGCAGATTCTCTTAGTCCTTGTTTGTTCATGCGTCATGGAGCTGATATAGCATGTCTATGTTTTCTTGAAACAGAAGCGGGTACATCGGACATAACTGGAGGAACACTGACGAAACTAACAGAGGACAAAGCTCAAGGAAACGATTCAACACGGGATAATGTGTACTTAAATCGTTGCTTTTGCATTATCACTCTTACTTATTATGATCTCAATCCTCATGGTTATTATCTATTTTGAGATGATGGTTCTCCTTTGGGATGCAGGAGATTAGCGAAGATGAGAATCGAAAGAGGAAAAGAGAGGAAAACCGTATATCTACGGCTAATGTGGAGGAAACCAGAGCATATGAAACAACAATGGTTTTGCCTTTTGAGAAGAAGTTACTAATTTGGAAGAAAATTGAATCATTAGATGTATTCAAAACGTTCCCACAAAGTCCCCACTTCAGCCCCCACTTCAGCCCATTGGTCGAGACTGAAGAAGATTTCCGTGAAATGTCTGCGGTTGGTATGGTCTACACCTATTCTGCGTTACTAGAAGAAGTCAGAGCCCTGAAATGCTTCAGTCCCGTAAGCACATTGAAAGGCCTGAGAGATTCCTTTGCCATGCTAGAGAAGCACGGGTTTGATGTGAAAGCTCCTCAATTGCGAATCCAAAAGTTGTTGTCTCTCAAAGATAGGCAAGCAGAGATAACAGAGGAACTCAAGGGTGCTGAGATAAAGATTGCAGGGAAAGAGAATGAAAAGGTTGAGTTCAAACGCAAGATTGTGGAGCTTGAAGATGGGATAGCTCAGTTGAAATCATGTGCAGAAACAATAGAGCAAGAGCTTGAAGATGTGGAGCTTCAGATTTGGACAACTGCGTCGGCTCCATGGTAAAAAGTTTGTATGACCTCTAAGCTAAGCTCTATTATGCAAATGAAAAAAAAAAAACTTTTTAGATTATTGTATATGAAATGGCCGTTGATGATCGATGTTTAGTGTTAGCTAAGTTATGAATGTGTGTTTGTTTTTCTTTATTCAGAGGGATTGGAATTTGACTCTGTTAGTGATGCCAAAGCCAACTAATGAAATTATTATAACATGGTTGATAGCTAATGGAATGATTATAACATGGTTGTTTGTTTAGCGGTTGATAATAATAGATCCAAGTAATTAAGTGGCACAATTACTACTTTTTAGTCATATTCCTCTTCTTTATTTTCGAGCACTTGTATCTAATTTTTCGCCATCTCTCTTAGCTTCATTTTTTCTCTTGTAGTGGATTTCTGTTGAAAAACCAGACAAGAAGGAACAAAAGCCCAAGTTGTAGATCAACATCAGAGTTAATGTTTTTGAGTCAAAGACTTGTTAACTACAGGTCTTAGTCTATTACTGTATAATTAATTATGAAGCTAACTAACAATTAGTAAATTAAGACCTTTGTGCTCAGTTTAAAAAACCGTTAATAGTATTACGCTAATCCCAGTGAGAGGGGATGACGAAAGAGATCATTCATCGTGGGTCTGTGGCCCGTTATTTTAGGCCCAATAGCTTATTTCTTTTTGTTTTCGTAATTTATTTAAATCGCGCCAAATAAAAATGAATATACAAAAAAAAAAAAAAAGGCATGACGTAAATGAGCTGTTTTTTCACTTTCTGACTTGAACTTGGGGTTTTCCGATTTGAGGGTCTTTATTGTTTCTGTGGAAGAAGAAAGGCGGGATTTTTCCGTTTTTGTTTTCTAGGGTTTTGTTTCTCTGACATGGAGGAGGAGCAGGAGCTAATGATTAAAAAAGATTGTGAGGTAGAAGTGTGTTCTGAAGAGGAAGGATTCGAAGGCGCTTGGTTCAGAGCGGTTTTAGAGGAGAACCTAACAAAAACAGGACGCAAGAAGCTTCGTATTCGTTACATGACTTTGCTAAGCGACGACGGTTCGTCTCCTCTAACCGAAACCGTCCCACAGAGATTCATTCGACCGGTCCCGCCCGAGGAAGAATACAACGGCGTCGTTTTGGAGGAAGGAACGGTGGTCGACGCAGATCATAAGAATGGGTGGTGGACTGGTTTTGTTCTAAAGAAGAAATTAGGGGATGACAAGTATTTGGTCTACTTCGATTCACCACCGGACATTGTTCAATTCGAGAGAAAGCAGTTGCGAGCTCATCTTGTCTGGACCTCTGGGAAATGGGTTTTACCCGATATTAAGGTACGAAGCTCTGATTTTGGTCCTTTCGGGTTATTTTGCTTGAAATTGTTGAAGCTTTGTCTCTGTTATGTTTTGTTGCATGCTTTTGTTGAACAGTACTTAAAGGTCGGTCCTTTCTTTAATCCGTTTTTTCCTCGTCTCAGTTTTGTTGCCCTTCTTTGTTTATGGTGCATCTATCTGGTTAAAAGGTTTTAGCTTTGGGTTGTGAATCTAATATAGTAGACTTTAACTTTTGTGTTTGTTGTCCCTGAAGGAATTGGACAAGTCAATGTTTTGCGCTGGGACAATGGTGGAAGTCAGTTCCCTCATAGATAGAGCGGAAGCTGCGTGGTTCCCCGCAATGATGGTTAAAGAGATTGAAGTGGGTGATGAGAGGAAATTCATTGTCAAGGACTGTAATAAACACTTGAACCGCAATGGTGATGAGGCAAGACCAAACACGACCATTGATCCACGCCGTGTTAGACCCACACCTCCTCCTTTCTCTGTTGAATATTATAATTTGTTGGAACGTGTAGAGGCGTTTCATGGTTCGGTATGGCGCCAAGGGGTGGTGAGGGCAGTTCTAGCTGAGAAACGTTACATGGTTAGTTTAGTTGCCACAAAGGAGGAACATGTATTTAAACACTCGGATCTTAGACCTTTCAAGGTGTGGGAAGATGGTGTTTGGCGTAACGTACCTTCAGAGGTATGGATTTCACTGATTTCAGTCAACATTCTTGCAGTTTTGATCTATTAGTCTGTATTGAAGCTGTAAATATGCTATTTACATTTTCAGCAAAACCCCGTAAAAGAAACTCCTTCCGAGGTTATCAAAAAGAAGCCAATGCTCTCTTATCTGCGTGCTAAGCCAGTGACTCCTCAGAGGGTCACAAAGAATGTGAGAAGATCTCTGAATCCTGAGGAAAATAGCGAGACACTCACTATAGCTGGTATTAATGTGTTTACAAATTTTGTTACCTGAAAATAGGCCACTGGAGGATTGAGAAAGAAGAGGGCTGATGCTGTTTTGAATGATAAAACTTCTCCAGTCATAACCACACAAGTAACTTCAATAGGTAATTGTGATCTTCTGTTTAGCTTCTTGAGTTTCATTTATGCATCATGAGTTTTGATCTATTGTGCCAATGTTTACTAGGAAAAGAATCTGTTTCACTTGGACCCTCGTCCCCGGTCATAACTGCAACGCCTCTGAAAAAAATAGAGACTGAAACTGAAGGACAGAAAAAGACGCTTGAGCCAAGTAGTGATCAGAATGGCTTGGGAAACGATTCAGATCGACAGAAGGTAAAGTTTAGTTTTGTGTATGTTTCTCGCTTTCACTCCACAGATGGTGCTTTATTATCTTAGCTCCCAGGATTGTTAATTATGTATCTATGAATTGATGGACTTACACTCTTTATGCAGAATCATGAAGAGGAGAACAGGGAAGGTAAGAGTAGAAAAAGGAAAAGAGAACAAAAACAAGACTCGGAGCTGAATGAAACTGGTATGTTCAAATCCGTATTAGCCATATTAGTTTTGGTATGCTTTGTTTATTGCCAATTCTTAATCATAGCATAATTTGTAGATGAGACTTGCAATGGTACAAAGGCTGGTAAAAATATCTGCAACAATGGTGATGTTGATGACCCGCCTCTCTCTAGTTGGATAGAGAATTTATATACTGGTTCGGAAATCTTTTCAGTACATTAGACGCATCCTTTTCAATATGGTATATGCTAAAACAAATTTTGGTTGTTGTTTAATCTGTCCAGAACAATCCTCTGATCGGAGCCCTAATGTGATGATGAATTCTGCTGGTGATACTTGTGTTGAGAAAACACCAACAACAGAGACACTAATGGCATTGCCTTTTACGAAGAAGTCGCCGTATTGGAAGAGATGTGAATCAACGGAGGGTTACAAAACTGTTCCACAGCGCCCTCACTTCAGCCCATTACTTGAGGCCAAAGGCGAGATCCGTGAGTGGTCAGCGGTTGGGATGATGGTGACCTTTTACGGGTTACTAGAACAAGTCAAATATCTGAAACCCGATGATTCCTCTAGCACATTCAACGGTCTCACTGTTTCTTTTACCGAGCTAGAGAAGTACGGTTTCGACATTACAGCCCCTCAGTCACGGATCAGCAAAGTGTTGTCTCTCAAAGATGAGCGAGCAAAGAAAGCAGAGGAAAGACAACGTTGTGAGAACAAGATTGGAGAGGAAGAGAAGGAAAGGCTCATGTTAGAAGAAGATTTAGCTGAGTTGAAGAGAAAAGTTACGGTTGCGGAAGAGAAGAAAGATTGGTCTAACAAAAGGATAGTTGAAATGAGATCAAGTGCAGGAAGAATTGACCAAGAGATCGATGCCTTGGAGCTTGAGTTTCAAAAAATTGTATCGGCTCCTTGGTAAGAAGTAAAAAGTCAACAAAACTATGACTTAGCTCTCTAACCTCAAGTGTTTTGGTCAAACAAAATTTCGAGTAGATGAAGTGAATGAAAAAAAAAGGAGTTGTCTGAGATTGCTGGCCCTTAAGGTTATTATGATTAAGATGTTAGTTTAACTTATGTTTTAATGTTAACCAGAAAAATCTTTTGTATATTGTACTCCGCTTTATTTAAGTAATCCGTTTAAGACCAGCTGGTTTTTTTTTTTATGATGGTTAGAGTCGATCTATATGTTTTGTCATTTTGTGATTTAGAGAAAAGACCAAAACAAAAAAAAGACCAGTCTGCAATTGATTAAAAAGAATATGTATTATTAAATTTAAATGTTTGTGAGAATTATTCTGATCTTACAGTTGTTAAGGCCCAATAGCTGTTACTTTGGGTTTCTAGTAGGTCATTTATCATGGAGCTCGTTAATTAAGGCCCAATAGTTGTTACTTTGGGTTTCTGATATATCTGAACTTCTTACAATATTTTTAAGCGCCCAAAGAAAAACTCTTCGTTAGTTACTCTATTATCTTGCCACAATGGAATGAAAGCATGGCGATGGTCTTTCTTCCACTAGTACTTGGAGAAGTTTCTTTCTTTATTCTTCATTTCTAGGGTTCCTGAGTTGAAGAAGAGGAAGAGTAAAGTGGGTTCTTTTATTGAATTTCATTTTGAGGGGAAGCAATGTTGCAAAATCCGGAGAAAGAAGGTGAAAAGTTGTCCATAGCAAAAGACAGTGAAGTCGAAGTAACTTCTAAAGAAGAAGGTTTCATAGGTGCATGGTACAGAGCAATCCTAGAGGAGAAGCCGACGAAATCGAGACGCAAAAAGCTCCGAGTCCGTTACACGACTTTGTTCCAAGACGACTACTCGACTCCTCTCACCGAAACCGTCGAGCAGAGCTTTATCCGGCCGGTCCCACCGGAGGATCTGTACGACGGCGTCGTTTTCGAGGAAGGATCGGTGGTCGACGGTGATCTCAAAGATGGATGGTGGAATGGTGTGGTCGTGAAGAAAATGGAAGATGATCAATTTTGGGTTTACTTCGATTCTCCACCAGACATAATCCAGTTCGACAGGAAACAATTGAGACCTCATCTTGACTGGACCGGCTCGGAATGGGTCCGAACTGAAATCAAGGTATTGTTGCAATAATTCCCCAACCTCTCTGTTAATTTGAGATTTTGCATGTCAAAGTTTTGGACTTTATGTTTGTCTTTGGAAATGAAGGAACTGAGTAAGTCCCTGTTTAGCTCCGGGACAATGGTGGAAGTGAGTCGTAAGATTGATAAAGTGGAAGCTGGCTGGGTCCCTGCATTAGTCATCAAGGAGATTGGCAAGAAGAGACTCATTGTCAAGCCTTGTGATAAGTCATTGACCTTCACCGCTGACGAAGTTAACTTTACCGTTGATCTGTGCAACGTCAGGCCTATACCTCCTCCGTCTTTTGTTGAAGAGTTTAAACTGTTAGATCGTGTTGACATCTTTCATGGCTCGGTGTGGCGTCAAGGTCTGGTGAGGGGAGTTCTCTCTGGCAAACGCTACTCTGTGAGTTTCGTGGCCACAAAGGAGGAGTCGGTATTCAAACAATCTGATCTTAGGCATTCAAAGGAGTGGGAAAATGGTGTTTGGCATCAAGGACAAAAGGTACTTTTCTCAATTGTGCCTAATTTGGGTTTGTTGTGAATAACTGGTAATGTTCTTCTTTCCATTTTTTCAGAGAAAACCTGTAAAAGAAACTCCTTCAGACGGCAAAAGAAAGATTTCAGTAACTATGGAGACTACATTGAGAGAAATCAATGCCTTGTGCAGATCGAAAAAAATGAAGATAATCCGTTCTACTACTGCTGCTAAGCAGATCACTCATGCCAGAAAATCTCCTAAAAGGACTAGAAAGCATACCAGAAAATCCACGAATCCTGCAGAAGACGCCGAGTCAGCCACTGAGGGTGAAACGGAGCTCCATGAAACTGTAGCTGTGAGTTATATATTCTCACGCCTGATTTGTAGTTTTTTGAGCAAGGATCTTCCCTTTCTGATTGTTCAACTCCATTTGCTTACTAATCATGTGTAGGCAATGGAATTCTCGTTAGCTCAGGAATCTGGAAATCAAATGGCTGGTGATGATATCATGAATGGTGCTGCTACGCCATTCGTAACCCCTCAAGTGATACCAATAGGTAATCAATCTTGATCTTCTTTGGCTCCAAATTCTGTTGGCTTCTTTGTTGAATGGTTTAACTTTAACCTCACCAGTTGTATTCAACACTCAGTGTGAGCTCCAAATCTGATCGAATCTCTTGACCTCTTTCATTTCTGCATCATGAAATTGATCTACATTGTCTCTGTTTCCAGAAAAGGAATCTGCTCCACCTGAAACCTCGGTCATAAACGAGGCTGAAACTCAAGGAATGGCATCCCCTGAGAAGACCCTTCAGTCAATGAGGGTGAAGTTTGGTTTGGGAGTTGGTTCAACTGAAGAGAAGGTAGAGTCAATTCATGGTTTATAACATTAATCATTCTCACTTTCTCGTTACGTCATCCTTTGATTGTCATTTTATCTTTGGGGATGGTTCGGTTGTGGTCTGTGCTTTTTTATGCAGACGTCTGAAGAGCATGACATCAATGAAAACAGTCATAAAAGGAAAAGAGAACAAAAGCACGACTCAAACCTTAAAGAGACTGGTATGTCTATAAATTTGGCATCTATCCGTATTCGTTGTTGTATTTCATTTCTTACTGAATCCTAACTCTATAATTAAGTAACTTATACGTGAGGCTTGCTATGGTTCAGAGGCTCTGACCATTACATAGCTTATTAGATGTGTCCTTTTAAACAGTGTGCTAAATAAAGTTCTTTCATTTCTCACTATTTTGCGTATGCATTGATCTATCCAGAGTTATCCCCTGATCGAACCCCGAATGCGGTTAAGAACTCTGCTGCTGATGAAACCCGAGCAAATGAGAATACATCAATGGTTATGCCTTTTGTGAAACACTCACCAATCTGGGTAGCGCTTGAATCAATGGAGGTCTTTAAAACACTAAAGCAGTGTCCTCATTTCATCCCCTTGCTCGAGACAAGAGAAGAGTTCCGTGAAGGGTCAGCCGTGGGTGAGATCGTGAAATTTTCCTCTTTATTAGAGAGAGTAAGAAATCTGCACCTTGACACTCCCAAAAGCACACTGGAAGGACTCAAAGAGTGCTTTTTCGAGCTTGAGAAGTATGGATTCAATGTTACATCGCCTATATTGCGGATTGACATGTTGTTTACTCTCAAAGATAAACAAGTCAATACAGAGGATAAACTAAAAGACAATGAGAAAGAGATGACAGAGGAAGTTAGCAAATTGGAAAGAGTCGAAGAAAGTCTGAGAGATGTTGAACGCAAGATTCTTGAGCTGCAGAGCCAAGAAGCAGACTTGAAAGAAAAGAAGGATGCTTCAGAGAAAAAGATTGCCCAAATGCAGCTGTATGGAGAAGATCTTGATAAAAAGATTCAAGATGTGGAGCTTGAGTTTCAGACGATCGTATCAGCTCCTTGGTGATATTTCCTTGATCAACCTTAAGCTCTTTCATGTGATGGTAAAGTTTGAAACAAAAAAACTATGATGAGCTCTAAGCTCTGTTTTTGCAAATGAAAGCTAGATTAGATGTAGTAAAAAGACTTTTGGCCCTCATAGTTATGGTAGATGAAAAGATTAGTTTTGACTAATCTGTCGATGACTAATTTCGGAAAAAATTTTGTTACTTGTAAATCTTGATGTATATATAACGGGGGGATTGTTCAGTGGTTTTTTATTGGTAATTATGAAGTGCTAATTCTTTGGAAAGAAATTACTGTTCTGATTCCATTTATTAATTGGACAACTAGTACACTAATATGGTTAGTGGTTGACTACTTACTCTTTAGTGGTTAACTAAATGGTTAATAGTAAAGAAATTACTCTTCTTCTTGCAGTAAAACGTAAAATACTCCTCTTAGCGGTTTAAAAAACGAATCATATGATTTTAATACTAATTAAATACTAATTAAATTATCTGTATCCTCCATTAATATCTCATTTTAATACTAATTAAATTTTCTTCTTAAATGATGTTTAAAAAACTTGATTATATGGTTACATACATATATAATTTCGAATGGCAAATTGTACAAGAACTTCAATTCGTTTAGACCAGTTGTTGTTTGAACCCTACAACTGTGAGCCTGTGACACATTTTAATGCGAACGGTCTTCTTGTCCATGCATTACATTTATTTAATTATAACTTTCAATATTCTGCAAAAAAATCTGTCAACATATCAAAATCAACCCATATTTTTTTTTTCTATAAATGACAATACTGCAATTTGTTATAGTAAGGGTTGTCCGTATTGATGGTTGGAGATATTTAATGTTACACTGTACCTGTATTTAGGTTTTGTTCTAAATGCTTTATAACTTACTTTGATTTAGAAATAAACGAGAGCTTAAAAAGTAAAATAATTTGTTTCCATATTGAAATAAAATGACGTGTGGATCCATTATGAATAAATTGGCTAAATCATTTGCTACACGTATACATAGGTTTATGAAAAATCCAATCTAACAAAAATAGATGGAATTTAATTTTGTTTTTTTTTAAACAATGATTTTCAAGGAATTTAATTTTTAGTTACATTGCCTGTGTTGGTTTTATGAGCAATTTTAGACTTCAAATTATTGGCCGGCCTTTTCTTTTGTTTTGCTGGCGTAGGTTGAAATTTAACAGTTAGAAGTTGGAACAAATAAGAACTAAAAAAAAAAAAAACTAAGTTGACAAACAAAAAGTTGAAAATAGATTTCGTGATCTATTGAACAAAAGGTTGAAAATTAATCATTTTTATTTGACCAGTTACTTACTTACTTGTAATAAGACTAAGCAGTAAGCATTACAAGTTAAACGAACTGTATTTTCATTAACCAAACAAAAACTGACTGTACTTTCTGGTTTATACATATTATTATATATATAATGGGCTAAGTTTCTATTAAATCTCTTAAACCGAAACATCGATAAGTTTGTCGATAAGGTTACTGGAATAAAACATTACAAGCTTTACAAGCTTTTTTTGTATTTTTTTTTTTTTGGTGTGTGCAACACATTACAAGTTTAAAATATATTTTAATCACTTCATAAAATAACATAAGGTCACGCGGCAGCTTTTGATCCGCTGGAATTGGTCGCTGAGAAGAACTTATTATAAGAACTGATTCTCTTAAAACTTTTATCCGTTAATAAATTATATGAGCTGGAATGGCTCGCGTGTTCTAATACATATTGACATCCATATTAAATAGAAGAAATTGGTAATATTTTTCAAACGTGTTTTTATTAAAGATGTAGACCCGAGCAAAGAAACATTGATCCATTAATATATGTACGGACCAAAAGAAGTAATTCGTATAAAGCAAAAAGTATTGCATGAAAAAAAAAAGTATTGCATGGTGGAGTGTCTCTCGGCAATTTCAAACATGAACGACATCTTACATAATAATACTTAAATTACAGGATATTTTAATATTTAGTTGCCACAATTCTTGAAACGCTAACAAATAGAAAAAGCGGAAGAAATCTGAATAATAAACAAGTGTTTCTTTGTCAAAGTCCTTTCGTTTTTTAAAAGTCAATAGATCGACCAACTAACGGTTTAGACATGTTAACGGAGAATCGATATCACGGACTGTTTTTTCCTAAGTCCACACGTATAATCATTGTATAATTCGATATCCTAATAATTGTTGCGTTGATTCAATCGAAGTAGTGATTATGACAACTTTGAATGAATGTTTACAAACAAATTATGAATTAGGCTGTCATTGGTAATCTGCTTGCCAACTAAAAAAAATTGCGGAATAAAAAATAGAATATGAAAGTGCTTAAACAAAAGTACAAAGAAAAATTTATTAAACAGAAAAATGAGTTTTAAATCGCTTATTTTATTTTGGAGGTTTCTTTTCGCTATTCCACAGTTATATATTCTGCAAAATTGTTACCAATCAAAGCCTTAATAATTATATTTACAAACTTAAATGAATGTTTATGAACAAAATGTCTTCTCGAACTCGCTAACTCTGATAAATCTGATCAATTCCTCTGGATCTCACAACAATATCTTTACAATATTGTGAGATATCCGTGATTTATCCTCTTCAATCCCTACCATTTTTTTTGGTTTTTTATCCTTAGCTCCTCTTATAATGGCGAGGCGGATTTGCTAGCTAAGCAAGCCTTTAGATAACGACTTTTTTTGCTTTAATTAATAAAGTAAGAAGTCGATAAAAAAAATTATATCTGCAAAATCGACTGATTTTGTTACTAACCAGGAACCACGTGACGAACGGCAAATGCAATCTGCATATATACAAAACGACTTTATGTAATGAACCACAATGCGTTTTAGTTTGGGAAAAATGTCAAAAGAAAAGCTTTCGTCACAATCCATACGAAAACATTAAAAACTGATTCTTAAATATTTTTTAATCAGAGTATCAAGCAAGTTGCAATTTGGAAAAAGAATTTTGTAGGCTCAACCAATTATAATAAATGGTTGTGCAAATTGATGCTCAAACTAGGAAACAAGTTACACAAGTACAAAGAGATTATTTTACTCATCTAAATTGATCCATTTCCATAATTAATGATGATATGCTTTATAAAGGACGTAGTTTCAATTAATGGAAAAATAGTAGCTGAAGATTTATGGAAAATTAACTTTCGGCGAACAACACAATAGGCCTATACATGACTAGAATTAATTAATAGATGGTAGGGATCCATCAGTTTTCGTTTGTTACACCTTTTTTTCTTCTCTTCTTATTATTTACACATTGATAATGAAGATTAGGAATAAAAATGTTAAAACGAAAGAACAGGCCTCGCCTGTAACAACCAACTCATATATTATTATATAAACCAACGACCATTTCTCAGCTTCTCAACTTATCTTCTTTCTCTCTGGTCATTTCTAAAAGATTAATAAACAACACACATTTTTTTCCTTTAAAAGAAAAAAGCTTCTAACTGGGGAAAAACGATCCGACCTGCCGGATTTGACCGAGCGACTGCAAACTCCAGTTCCCCGCTATACCAACTGAGCTAAGGTCAGCTGCATAATCTTGGATTTTCCCGTGATTGTGATTATATTATATTCATTTCTTTTTGCTTTTGCTATTTTAGATCGGAACAATTTTGATGGTTTCTTATTCTTTTTAAATGAAAAAAATGCAACTAAGACCAGTAAACTATATCCTTTGATCTAATCACTGATGTTTTTTTATTTTTTTCCTTTTCAAACATAATGATTTTCATTTTGATAACAAAAGAACTAATTTAGATGAAATTGTTTATTTAGGAAGGAAAGAGACTATTCGATACTTTTATGTTTATACTTATATATTAAGAAAAGAGTATGGAAGACTTTAAGTGTTTAAGTATGGAGATTCCTACATTGGTTAGAGAGCGTTACAACTACAACACATACATCACTTCCATACTTATTGAATTTTGTTTTTTGTTTTTCAGAGGTTTTCAAATAATCTTTAAATTCTTCATCAGCAATATTATGTATTTTAATGAACATGGTGAAAAGAAGGATAAAGAAAAGAGAGTGAAGCCAGGGTTATACATGCTCTCACGTTTAGGGCGTGACTCTTAAACTAGTGAATTAGTTTGGGTGGTATTATTAATTATACTTTTAGTTGAAATCAATTGAAAATAATGGACACTCGACTCGTGCGTCCTTGGAAACTAAATGTATGTAATTAAGTTTTTTTTGTCTATATAATATGTAGTTGATATAATTCATTGTCAAATCACAATCTATGTACGGAAACCAAATTAGTATCAAATCTAAATGGAGTAGTTGGTCTCTTAGGTTATGATAAATGATTAAACTTTGGGTTTGTACTCGGTATGGTTAGGTGAACCGGACTGGTGACAATAAATGCCATTCTATCAATAAAATTATGATAAAAATATTTTATTTAATTTATGCGAATAATAAAATTAAAGTACGGAGCACGCTAGCAGATTAACTCATGGAACTTTAATACATCTGTTTTTGTTCAACGATTATGTATTTTTCACAAATCATACAGTTTAATGCAAAATTATGGTATTAGTAATCAGTGATTCTCTTTTTTCTATTTCACATTTTGTTCTTAAAATTATGTACCATCCATTAATTCGGACAGTGTTATATTTTTTCATATACTCCATTAACTACGTAGGTTGAATTTATCGTGATTCTATCTTTTTCATTTCTTTTATATAAAGAAAAAGAGCTTCTTCCAAGAAAGAAAAAGAAAGAGAGAATGAAGTCTTTCGCGGCGAAGGTGGAAGAAGGAGTTAAAGGGGAAAACGGGAAGCCGTCGGTAGGTCCGGTGTATCGGAATCTTTTGTCGGAAAAAGGTTTTCCTCCAATAGACTCTGAAATCACCACTGCTTGGGACATTTTCAGGTATATATATTTATTAATTTCTTTATTAAGATTATTATCACCTTCTGTGTGTAATTATTGCTAGTAAATCTCTTTTGGAATTTGTTAGTAAATCAGTGGAGAAATTCCCTGACAACAACATGCTTGGATGGCGTCGGATCGTCGATGAGAAGGTGGTTTTTCAAAATTCTTCTTACTAAAACAAATATTTGATTTAAACTTATTTATACATATTTTCTTATACGTATGTTCTTTGTACGGATCGGTTAGGTTGGACCGTATCTGTGGAAAACGTACAAAGAAGTATACGAAGAAGTTCTGCAGATCGGCTCTTCATTACGAGCTGTCGGAGCTGAGCCTGTAAATACCTTTTTAAATACTAACATATATATTCCTCTTCATCAAAATCAATTCATTATTCTAAATTTTCTTGGACATTAATGTTAGATATTGAGATAAAATGTTATATGTATATATGTAGGGGTGTCGAGTGGGAATCTATGGAGTTAATTGTCCTCAGTGGATCATAGCAATGGAGGTCCTTCTCTTTTTTATTAATAAATGTTTTCTCTGATTTATTTTTGTATATATATATATATATATTCAAATTTCTTACAATAAATATTTACACATTTTTGTGAATATTTAGGCTTGTGCAGCTCACACTCTAATCTGTGTACCTCTATATGATACATTGGGTAGGTTAAGTTATAAGTTCTCGGTTATATAATTTTTTGGGATAGAACTTAGCCATTGTGACTCAAACCAAAAAAATAATTGTTCTGTAGGTTCTGGAGCAGTGGATTATATTGTTGATCATGCTGAAATCGACTTTGTATTCGTCCAAGACACCAAGATTAAAGCGGTTAAGATTTTTGAAATTAAGTTCACTAATTAATTATACACTTAATTTGAAAAACTATTTATCTATGTGAATATTAATATTTTTATATTTTTTAATGTTGTTAAAATGTCAGCTTCTTGAACCTGGTTGCAAATGTGCTAAACGGCTAAAAGCTATAGTTTCCTTCACTAATGTAAGCGAAGAACATAGCCTCAAAGCTTCAGAAATGGGAGTCAAAACTTACTCTTGGCAAGATTTTCTCCATATGGTTCGCCTCTCTTCTTTTTTTTTTTTTGACATCAACGCCTCTCTTCTTTACTTTCTAAATCTATATTATATTTTATGGTCGGACCATTGTTTGAGGTATTTAATAACAGGCACGTGTTAAACCAACTTGACCGCATTTGATGCATAACATTAAATGAATTAGCTGCCCATATCCAGTTTGATAAAATATCTTCTCGTATTGACTATTTGACCAGGGATGTGAGAAACCGGAAGAGCCTAACCCGCCTAAGCCGTTTAACATATGCACTATAATGTACACGAGTGGTACGAGCGGTGACCCTAAAGGTGTTGTTTTGACTCACGAAGCGGTCGCAACTTTCATTGTTGGGATGGATCTCTACATGGACCAGTTCGAAGATAAGGTAACTCTGAATCAATTTTTTTAAAAAGACACTAGTAAAAATTTATTCCACGTTTTCGATGGATTATACCCACGCCATGTGAATGAAGCTGGGTAAATTTATTATTTATAATCCCACGACATGTGAAAAACCTAATTTTTTTTTTTTCTCGTCGAATATAATGTCAAATGAAGAGTTTTGAACAAAAATCATTAATCATACATTTGATTTTAACAACTCGGATACAAATTTAGAAAGATTTGTTTTGTTATTACTTATTAGTAACAGAAAGAGTATTATATTTGATAGTGTCCTCTAATATCTAACTACTGTAAGCAAAAGTTAAAAACACTCTCAGGCTATATAACATCAATATTTTTTCCGGTTATTTGCTCTTATTTAAACAAAATTCCCATTCGAACAAAAACAAAAATTCTTTAAAAAACACTCTCAGGCTAACATCAACTTTTTTTGGTCAGAATAAAAATTAAAAAATCTGCATAATTAACCATGAAACGGTGTGGCCTTGCTTAATGCTCTGTTTTATTTGGGTGGATTAAAAACAAGCAGATGACACATGACGATGTGTATCTCTCCTTCTTGCCGTTGGCTCATATTCTTGACCGTATGAATGAGGAATACTTCTTTCGCAAAGGGGCTTCCGTTGGCTATTACCATGGAGTATGTTAATCTATATAAAGATACACAATCATTCATTAAAATTAATGGAACAAAAGAGATTAAAGGAATAGCTTAGAGAATTGATTATATGTTCATGTGTTTTTGTGTAGGATTTGAATGTGTTACGCGATGACATTCAAGAATTGAAACCAACTTATCTAGCCGGAGTTCCAAGAGTCTTTGAGAGAATCCACGAGGGGATTCAAAAGGCTCTTCAGGAACTTAACCCGAGAAGGAGATTTATCTTCAATGCTCTCTACAAACAGTAAGCAGCTACATGGTTATTTGCTCTGTTTCCTTCTTACTTATGTGTTCTCTGATAACATAACCTTGAACAAATGCAGCAAGCTTGGGTGGTTGAATCGTGGATACTCTCATAGTAAAGCTTCACCCATGGCTGATTTCATTGCTTTCAGAAAGGTTTAAATCATTTGAATTTAAATAATGGTTTTCTTTCTTCGTATTTTAGGTGTTTTTTTTTTGTTTTGCTTTTGGTCATAATTATATAAACCTACTTTTCGCGATTTTGGGTTTCTCTTAAAGATTAGAGACAAATTGGGAGGTCGAATACGGTTGCTAGTATCTGGGGGAGCACCATTGAGTCCTGAGATCGAAGAGTTCTTGAGAGTTACTTGTTGTTGCTTTGTCATCCAAGGCTATGGTATATATAACCCCTGGCATTCTAGAGAAATTTTTCTCTCTGTTTCGTGTATGCCAAGGAAAGTCAATGTTCTGCTGTGATTGTTTGGATTAGGTCTAACGGAGACGCTTGGAGGAACAGCTATGGGTTTCCCGGACGAGATGTGTATGCTTGGGACAGTCGGTATTCCGGCGGTTTACAATGAGATACGGCTTGAGGAAGTGGCGGAAATGGGCTATGACCCACTCGGAGAAAATCCAGCAGGCGAGATCTGTATCAGAGGAAAATGTATGTTTTCTGGGTATTACAAGAACCCTGAACTCACTGAAGAAGTCATGAAAGACGGATGGTTCCATACAGGTGACTGACTAATTGATTGAAACAAAGATTCGATTGTTCTGATTCTTAATTGTTCTTGATGTAAGTGTGGATGTTTTTTTACAGGAGATATAGGTGAGATTCTTCCAAACGGAGTACTCAAGATCATTGATCGCAAAAAGAATCTGATCAAACTCTCTCAAGGAGAGTACGTTGCTCTTGAGAACTTGGAAAACATCTACGGCCAAAGCTCTGTTGTCCAAGATGTGAGTACTCTTTCTTGTCCAGCAAGCAATCGTTTTTAGGGTTTTCTTCAATCATCTTTGAATCCATCGTCTGATTATTATTGATTGGTCGCTATATTTCTTCTCAGATATGGGTTTATGGAGATAGCTTCAAATCTATGCTCGTTGCGGTGATTGTTCCAAACCCGGAAACCGTGAACCGGTGGGCTAAAGATGTCGGTTTTACCAAACCATTCGAAGAACTCTGTTCTCTCTCAGAGCTACAAGAACACATCATCTCAGAACTGAAGTCCACGGCAGAGAAGAACAAGGTTTATTTAAATTCGTTTGATTTTGTCTGAATAAAAGTTCTTCAATTTAGAAAAAAAAAATAATTATAACAAAATTATTCGTGGATGTGAAAAAAATAATTATATATCAGCTAAGAAGGTTTGAGTACATCAAAGCGGTGACGGTGGAGACAAAACCTTTCGACGTAGAGAGAGACTTAGTGACTGCGACACTCAAGAATCGGAGGAACAATCTTCTCAAGTATTACCAGGTTTGAATTATCGTTGTTTATTTCACTTTATTTTTTAGAGATTAGTTTTCGAATTTATAACAATTAAACTACACAGATTAATCAATATTGAATTTAAATGCTTTGCACCGTTCAGTCCGCTAACGTTCTATCATATAGGTAAAAATCGACGAAATGTACCGAAAGTTGGCGTCAAAGAAAATCTGAATGTGTTGCGACTTGCGATGATGTGTGTGCTAGTATTGATTATCATGATCATATATATATCAATAAATGATAGAAATGAGCCTTATGATTTCTGTAATGTTTTATTTCAATGTTGTTGTATGACCATCATTTTCATCATTATTATTAGTTTTTCTTCTCCTTTTCTTCTTGAAATGTATGTAACTCGAATTCTCTAGTTGTTTCCATCACATCTCACCTCCAACGACCCACGACGTGATTAATGTTATATTCAAAACCTTTTGGTTAAATTTTTAGTTTTTTACTTAAAAAAAAGAGTACTGTCCGTAAGTCTTCATTAGCTTGTATGAAACTTCCACTGCTGAAGTCTGATTCAAACCTCTACATTAGAATATAAACCAAAGTGTGACTCAAGAGAAAATTGTAATGCCATTCTGTAAATGAAATTATAATATAACTTGATTTATGTAAATAGTAATAAAATTAAAAGTACGGAATACATAAACAGAGTGTTGTCACTAAAGTACGGAATACGTAAGCAGAGAGCTGTCACTGATGAAATAATGAAACTTCAACGTATCTTCGTTTCAACGATTCTGATTAGTAATTTGATTATACGATTACGTACTTTTCAAAATCATACAATTTTTACGAAAGATGCAATATATAAATTTTAGTCATTCATCTAAAAAGAAAACATAATAGAGAAAGATTAGAGAATGAAGTCTTTCGCGGCAAAGGTGGAAGAAGGAGTGAAAAGGGAAGATGCGAAGCCATCGGTAGGTCCGGTGTACCGGAATCTTTTGTCAGAGAAAGGTTTTCCTCCTCGTCATTCTGATATCACCACTACTTGGGACATTTTCAGGTTTAATTTTCTTATAATTAATATCATATGGCATCCCTTTTAGTTTCTATACAATAATTGTTCCCTTATTTGTTATTAAAAACTCTTTTGGATTTTGTTAGTAAATCTGTGGAGAAATTCCCTAATAACAAGATGCTTGGATGGCGTCAGATTGTCGATGAGAAGGTGGATTTTTTTTTTAATTTTTTGTACTAAAAAAGGAGAGAAAAGTTATAATGTCGAATAAACATTTTTTTTTGGTCAACAATATGTATTTTACAGGATTGGTGACACATCAACAACACTAATACAAAAAAAATTGCTGTTTTATTATTAAACTTATAACATATGTGCACATAAACGAAAATTTGTACGGTGTGATTAGGTTGGACCGTATATGTGGAAAACGTACAAGGAAGTGTACGAAGAAGTTCTGCAGATTGGCTCTGCTCTACGAGCCGCCGGAGATGAACCTGTAAAGTTTTTTTACATATGTATACGTTTTTCCAAACCATTTAATTGTTATATATTTATTTATATCGAACAGAATGGTCTATGTATATATATATAGGGGTGTCGAGTGGGGATCTACGGAGCAAATTGTCCTCAGTGGATCATAGCAATGGAGGTCCATCTCTTTTTCAATTAATATTTCTCTGAATTTAAATTTATTTTAAGTAAGTATCTAATAATGATAATTATTATATACACATATTTGTGAAAATAATTAGGCCTGTGCAGCTCACACTCTGATCTGTGTACCACTATATGATACATTGGGTAAGTTAAAGTTTACATGTGACAATACTTTCGTGACTCAAACATTCAATAACGCGACTCAGAGGAATTGTTTACATCCTATGTTCTTCAGGTCCCAGAGCAGTTGATTATATCGTTGATCACGCGGAAATCGATTTTGTGTTCGTCCAAAGCACCAAAATTAAAGGAGTTAAGATCTTTGAGATTGATTTCACCAATTAATCTATACATTTGAAAGATTTTTATTTGTGTGAATATGAATTTTTGTTTTTTGTATGGTATTAAAATCAGCTTCTTGAGCCAGATTGCAAAAGTGCAAAACGACTAAAAACCATAGTTTCTTTCACAAATGTGAACGCGGAACAGAGCCACAAGGCTTTAAATATTGGAGTCAAAGCATATTCTTGGCTCGATTTTCTTCTTATGGTTCGTCTCTTCTATATTTATTGTTTAAAACAAAAAAAAATTTATTTCACGTTAGGTAAATTACAACTTTATAATAAAATATCGAGCCATTTTTATAGCTAGTTAATGAAACGCACATGTTAAACCAACTTAACGAGATTAGGCATTGCTTTGGTACGCATAAATAATTAGATGAAAGGAAACAAATGAATTAGGTGCCCACACTCGCACACATTTGGTTTATGTAAAAAAATTATTTTGTTGACTATCTGACCAGGGACGAGAGAAGCCGAAAGAGACAAACCCGCCTGAACCGTGTAACGTGTGCACCATAATGTACACGAGCGGCACGAGCGGTGACCCTAAAGGTGTTGTTTTGACCCACGAAGCTGCCGCGACTTGCGTTGTTGGGATGGATCTCTGCATGGACCAGTTCGAAGAAAAGGTGACTGTCAAATGTCAACATATCAATTTGAAGAAACACTAAAAACTTGTTTTGCGTTTTGTGCGGATAAACATGGTATTAAATACTATAAGATTATATGAATAATTACCATTTCAATGAACAAACAAAATTCCCAAAATTATTTCACGATACATTAGCAAAAATTCAATGTTCACTTCTGTTTTAATATTACAACAAGGGATTAACATTATACGATGCCGTCTCGCTTAGTCATCTGTTTCCTTTTTAACTAATCTTTTCTTTGTCTCTTTGGCTTAAAACGACGTCGTAAAATGTCAGATGACACCTGACGATGTATATCTGTCGTTCTTACCGTTGGCTCATATTCTTGACCGTGCGACTGAAGAATACTTCTTTCGAAAAGGCGCTTCCGTTGGCTATTACCATGGAGTATGTTGATCTCTTAAAGAAACACATTTAAGGTTAAAAATGGATCAAAGAAACAAAGAAAATTTATTAATGTTGATGTGTTTTTGTGTGTGTTAGGATTTGAATGCGTTACGCGATGATATTCAAGAACTGAAACCGACTTTTCTGGCGGGAGTTCCGAGAGTCTTCGAGAGGATCCATGCGGAGAATCAGAAGGCTCTTCAGGAGCTTAACCCAAGAAGAAGACTCATCTTCTATGCTCTCTATAAATAGTAAGCTTCACAGTTCTGTGACAAAACTTATATTTTTTTAAAAAAAAACTTGCGTTATTAATAATTTTCTAATAAAAAATGAAAACCTAGTAGAAGACTAGCATTTTTCTCAGAACTTTCAATAAAGTAACTTTTTGAGGTTAAAGTCCAATAATTCTTTTTATTGATGGACGTATATATATATATATATATATATATATCAGCTTTTTCATATACTGCCATATTGGTATACAATTTTTGCATACTGATCATATATGTCTACGATCAATGAGAAAAGTTTTACATATAGATATACGTTGAGACTTGAGAGATATTAAAATAAAGAAATCATGCATGTAGAAAAATGTACTACTTCTCTAATTATAAATTCTTTTACGGCGACGAAAAACTTGAAAGAGTGTTACTTTTAGCAACAAGAAAAAGGGAAAAAAAAACTAGATGACATGTCTCTGTTTTGTGTCACCTCTGTTTCTTTATTATTATTTTTCACTACCCTCGCAAATTCTTTTTTTTTTTTTTTGAAAGAATTGCCCTCGCAAATTCGCAGTAAATGTAATATATACGATGCAGCAAACTTGCGTGGATGAATCGTGGATACTCTCACAGGAAAGCTTCACCCATGGCTGATTTCATAGCTTTCAAAAAGGTTAAAAACAGTGTGAAATAATGGTTTTCGCTTCATATTTCGGGATTGTTTCAGCTTCTTTGATATTTACATGTAGCCAACATTTTCACGAATTTTTTTTTCTTGGATGAAAGATTCGAAATCAATTAGGAGGTCGAATACGGTTGCTAGTATCTGGGGGAGCACCATTGAGTCCTGAGATCGAAGAGTTCTTGAGAGTTACTTGTTGTTGCTTTGTCATCCAAGGCTATGGTATATATAACCTCTGGCATTCTAGGAATGTTTCTCTCTGTTTCGTGTGTGCCAAGGAAAGTCAATGTTTTGCTGTGATTGTTTGCATTAGGTCTAACGGAGACGCTTGGAGGAACGACATTGGGTTACCCGGACGAGATGTGTATGCTAGGGACCGTCGGTATTCCGGCGGTTTACAACGAGATACGGCTTGAAGAGGTGCCGGAAATGGGCTATGACCCATTGGGGGAAAATCCGGCAGGCGAGATCTGTATCAGAGGAAAATGTCTGTTTTCTGGTTACTACAAGAACCCTGAACTTACAGAAGAAGTCATGAAAGACGGATGGTTCCATACAGGTGATTAGTTTGACCAAATCAAGATTTAGATTTCTTCTATATTAGTTTCTGATAATTTGTACGAGGTGTTTTCAACAGGAGATATAGGTGAGATTCTTCCGAACGGAGTACTCAAGATCATTGATCGTAAGAAGAACCTGATCAAACTCTCTCAAGGAGAATATGTTGCTCTGGAGCATTTGGAAAACATCTACGGACAAAACCCTCTGGTCCAAGATGTGAGTTTTTCAACTATTTCTTGTCCAGCAGGGAATCGTTTTTAAGGGTTTTCTTGACTTCAATTATCTTTAGTTCCATCTTCTGATTATTATTGATTGGTCGCTATATTTCTTCTCAGATATGGGTTTATGGAGATAGCTTCAAATCTATGCTTGTCGCGGTGATTGTTCCAAATCCAGAAACCGTAAACCGGTGGGCTAAAGACCTCGGTTTTACTAACGCATTTGAAGAACTCTGTTCTCTCTCGGAGCTACAAGAACACATGATCTCAGAATTGAAGTCCACGGCAGAGAAGAACATGGTTTGTGTGATTTTGTCTTTAAATCGAAATTGATCTTCAAGAGTTTTCTAGAAATAGTAACAGTTAAAGAAATAAATCAAATTGTGGATGTGAAAAATAATTAAAACAGCTACGCAAATTCGAGTACATCAAAGCGGTGACGGTGGAGACGAAACCTTTTGATATAGAAAGAGACTTGGTGACTGCAACGTTGAAGAATAAGAGGAACAGTCTTCTCAAATATTATAAGGTTCCATTATCTTAATTTTAACCTTAATTTTTTATTTTTTATTTTTGTTGAGCTTAAATGTTTGCAGCTATTCAACCCGTTAACGTTCCATTATACAGGTATTTATCGACGAAATGTACCGAAAATTGGCGTCAAAGAGAAGCTGAAAGTGTTGATGTATGTGTATTTTAAGAATTCCTTGATAGAAATGAACCTTATGCTTTCTCTAATGTTTTATTGTTATGTTGTGTGACCTCTACATCGTATTTATTTGAGCGTGTAATTCTAAGTCTCTACTTGTTGATTTTCTGGGATAATTGATTTTCTGGGATAATTGTCTTGATTTAATAATCATGAGCATTAGAACTTATGTACCACTTTATTTTTACATCGGCATATCATAATAAAAATATTTAAATGCATTATATCTGGTGACAAAAGTGGCGTGACAATGAGTTGTTTAAAACCTCAATAAGAAAAAAGATCTATTTGACTATGGACTGGCACTATATCATGTAAATCAACCTAGAATCAACACGCAATTTATCAACGATACAGACACCAAAAAAAAAAAGAGGAGATTACAATTTTGTAAGATTATGGCGAGAAAGGAAATTGGAGTAGTGTTATGGAGTTGAGGAGATAATAGAAGGGTTTGCTTTTCAAAAACGAAAAAGGATAACAGATCATGGGCATTTTTTCATCAAATTTTAAGACATTAAAAAAAAAAAAGTGGGTGTTGGACCCAGGACTCGCCATGGGCTAGAGCCAGGACTGTAATGGCTCAAGTCGACGCAGAGAGAGAGAGAGTGATGGTCTTCACCTACGGCTCTTGGTCTCGTCCTTTTCCCTCTCTCTCTTCTTATAAAACTTCTCGAGGACTCGTTTTGCCTCACAATTGGGAAAGTTGGAAAGATCATAGTAATGCGGTGCAACATCTACTAACCTGTATACAAGCAAAGATGGGTCAGTTTTCAGAGGGTTTGAGTTAATCAGTTGTCAAAAGACAAAAAGATAACCCAAGACGGAAACCAATCAGTCACCGCGGATATCTGTAACAATGCGAATGAAATTCCGCGTAGTCAAGACATACTCATTATAAATCACCCACTCTGGTTTGTGATCCAGGCAATTAGATGGGTGCAAGTGAACAACCTGCTCCATCAGATATAAATATAGGTTATATAAGCAGTCTCTTTCTTTCTCTCTCTCTTTATAATCAGATATAAATATATATAGGTTATATAATCAGATATAAATATAGGTTTTGTGGCGCCAGGACTTTAAAGTAACGAAGGCCCGTTAAAGTTTTAACTTTTAATTGGGTTGTAATTTCAGTCACCATAGTCAACGTTTTATGTGGTTTGGCCCATATGCGTGGCCTAATTATCTCGTTTTGTGATATTTTTTTTTCCGTTAAAACTAACTAGCACTAGTAGAGTAATACTAAATCACTAGCAAAGTTTTTCTTTTTTTGGTAAAATACTAGCAAAGTTTTTTGGGGAAAACGTATTTTGGTTGCCCAAGTAGGTTTTATACCTTGGGCGAATGGATCCTTACGTAAGACAGAATTCTCTATTGTGGACGTATGTATGACAAATATAATCATAAAAGTATTATCAAAGTTTTTATATTGTGTATGATAAAAGACATTATTACGATCATCTTTAGAACCTGTATTTGAAATAGCCGAGGAAGATGAAAGCCCTTGCAATATGGAAGAAGATCGTCTTGTTCATTTTCTTGCCAGCTTAATTTGGACTTAATTTGATACATTTGTTTCTCTTTATACCTCTTATTGACTCTCGTCGACTCTGCTTAACTTGTAGACAACAAACTTGGAATATCAATCTGTATCTTCTTCGCACCGTACGTTAATCTATATGAACCATCTCATTTTTCTACGTGCCCTTTGTGATATGACTGTAGTTTTGAAGAAAATCAGAGTTTTGAGATATTGCAAGTTCTCATTCTAAGAAAGCGATAGGACTATTTCACCGATCACACTATACATTCATAATCCAACAAATTCATTTTAACGCTAGCTACTATTTATCATAATTAGTTTTACGTCTTCATTAATTAATTATTCCAGAGTTCCATGGACCAATTAATTGGGAATTAGTAGGTTGTAAATTGTTGAACCAATGGGTCTTCTTTAAGTTTGTCTTTTAGTCAATTGCTTTTGGGGTGCCATCAAGATTTTAGGTACTTTTGCTTTCGGTTGCAGTCGTGGCGTTGTGTTGGGACAATGATTATGTACCTTCGGTTTGGGATTATCACTCACCGTAAAGGTCTATACAGACATACTAAAGCCAATGGCGTTGCTACGCACTCACTAGACAAAAAGACAAAAAGTAGTAAGTATTACCTCATTAGTTTTTTTCTTTTTTTTGCTGTTCTATTGAACATTTTATCACTCACACACACACATGGCTGCAAAAGTAACAAACAAGATGGAAAAAAAAACTATTTTGCATGGTAACTTTTTTTTTATAAAGAAAACTAAATAAAGCACAGAAGATGCATGGTAACTTGTTTCTCCCCGTTTTACTTTTTTGTCTATTTCTTTGAGGGATTTGTTTGTTTAAAAAACCTTTTTCCAACAAGTCTAGGCACTTAGGGGACGACACAAACTTTGATTGTTATCGCTGTCTCAAAATCAGTAAAAATATTTGCCAAGTCGGTGTCAAACATTGGATTTTGACGGTTCAATTAATTGATTCCGGCAAAGGAAAAAATAATTTACGTTGGCGTTTACTTATAAATGTTAGTACTTAGTAAAAATGTTCTTAGTTTTTAAAAGATGTTTGATATATATATAAACGCATATGAAAAGTAGTCATTTATACTTGTGGCATTTGTCACACAGGGAAGTGGAACAGTCCCATCAAATACGAGTGGCATTTGTCACACAAATGTATTGAAAACGTCTTCAAGTAAGAGAATGGGACTCTAAGCTAAACATGTTCCAGAAGAGAAGACTATCGAGTCTTCAGCACATGCCATTGTTTCTTAAAGTAGAAAACATTAGTGAAGTAAGAGTCAAAAAAATTTATCTTCTATTTTCATTTTGGATTTGAAAAATTTGGAAGAAAAAAAAAAGCAAACGACATAATACAGTGCAAACGTCTTTTTCTTCACCGCAGTGTAATCATGAAACAACAAGAAGAACAAAAGCATTAAATCAAATAAAATTTAAATAAATAAAATTACGAACGTCGATCAAAACATAGAAAAGAGTAGGTAAAAGTAGTTGAGTTTATGCTTCCAATTTCGCATTAATTGCGTCTTTAGTTATCTCGCTTAATTGAAAAACTAGTTAATTTTTTCAAATTCCAAGACAAGAAGTGAAGCAAGTAGAGATAGGGTAACCTGAAACCCTCGAACGCACTAGAACCGTAGATATCGTTAAAAAAAAAAAAAAAAAAAAAAAAACCCACAAACTACAAAGCCTAGCAATGAACATAGAAGAGTAGAGTCCATGCAAAGCCCCATATTAATTATTAAAATTGAAAAGACGACCTATAATGATCTATATCGATCGGTAATTTTCAAAACGACAAAATTGTTATGCGATTTAAAAGTTTATGCGAACCATAAGAATTACAAAAGTTGCGATTCATGTTAAGTATTAACTATGCCAGTGCCACTTGTTTTTTTTTTTTTATTATTATATTGTATAATTTTGTACTTTCTTCTGTTCAGAATTATTTGATGTTTTAGAAAGTTTTTTTTGTTCAGAATTATTTGATATTCTCAGTTTTCAATGCAAAATTTAATGAATTTTTATAGTTTTTGACCTTTTAGATTCTGCAGAATGTCTTCTTATTGGCTGAATGATATTTAAATGAATTATAAATAATATTTTTAATATAGGAAAAATAAAAATTAAATGAATCCTTAAATTGTGTGCAAAAATCTTAAACATCAAATAATTCTGAATAGAGGTAATAGTAAATTAGAATTTTCTTGTGTGGTTATGATTCCATGGTTTCAATCGACGCAAAATCATCAGAACTTGATATTACTTTCAGGATTTTTAGATCAATAAAGAAAACATCTCCCGCATGAAAACGAAATATCCGATTCTTTAGACAATTTTACAAATAAAAACCTAAATACTATAACTTACAATAGTAATAAGACTATACTACTACTCTTCCTTCAACATATGAGACGGAACAACATCCTGAAGAAGTCCATAATCTTTAACCAAACCACGACTCTTCTTCACACGATCATCATCACCATATCCAATTGCGTGGCTATTAAGGTACTCGCTAACTCCTCCAAAACAAGACAACAGTTCTTGTTGTTGCTGTTGATGGTGGTAATTATGGACAAGCTGTTGGAATTGAGGAGAGATTAATGTTGAGTTCTCTACAGGAAACCCGAAGTTACCGAGATTTGAAACAGCGCCGGTTGATCCGAAGAAGCCCCCTGTGGAAATCGGACGAGACGTGAGTGGACTAATGTGTGTGTGCTGGCCTTCGTAGGTTGTAACCACAGTGCTTGGATCTCTGAATGATCTCTCTACTCTCTTCTTCACGTTACATGACGCTGTCGTGCAACGGTAGTAACTCCTGCGCAAACGAACACACCAATACACAAAATTAGCCTCACAAACTTTTAATTACCATTTCAGTGTTTTTATCGATCTTTCTTTGGGTGATCCTTTGGGAAATTGTAAATGCAAATGGAAAAATGTTCATTTAGGTTTCATGTTTGTGTTTTCCAACTTTTGAATGATGTTAGAATAAAGAAAGTTCAAATCTTGTTTTTTGTCAATACATATAAAATTATAAACAAAGTAATTTCACTTAGAAAACACTAGCACACATATTTTGAAACAATCGGACAATAGATCCTACACATTAACATAATGCATGTCCTCAAGCAAATCAGATAAGAAACAAAAAGGAGAAAAAAGTGGTTTAAGATTTCTTCTTCTTCTGTCAGTTTATGGAAACAGAAAAAAATAAGAAAAAAAAAACATGGTCAAGAAAAATCATTACCTGGGAAAAGGACTGTTTTTGACAGCTTTTTGACCATATTTTCTCCATCGATAACCATCTTCGAGATGATCAACCTCACTCTTAGTCATGAAGGCCACTCTTGCCTCTCTCTGTCTCTTCTGGTTATTCTTCTTTGGTTTCAATCTGTA